GCGAACGAGAGGAGGTTTTGCCAAGTGGTTAAAAATAAACTCCCTGGGCTTCCGTGCCTTTAGATGTGTGTCAAAGCCAGGGGTTTTTTTTCGTTCTTCCTGTTCTCCCTCCTCTCGTTCCTTCTTCCCGTCCTCGAATTCTTGGCGGTGTCCGACACGCCTCCTTTCAAGATGTGGGCGCGGGTCGGTGTCGACCCTGATGGATGGTCCGAATGCCCGTCCGTCCGGATTCGGCGTCCCGTGAGGACTTTCACGGTGAAGCGTGGCAAATTCCCGATAAAACCTATTTATAGGGTCTCGCGAGACAGAAAACGAATGTCCGGATCGTCCGCCAAGTAGGTGGGTGGTTATCGGTGACGAACACAAGGGGGGAGCCAAGGGGAAAGCCGAGGGGAGGCAACCGAGGGGAACCAAGGGGAGGCGGTTGAGGGGAGCCACGGGGAGGCGGCTGAGGGGAGCCATGGGGAGGCAGCTGAGTAAGTTGAAACCCCTTCCCACTTGGCTCCTCCGACCCCCTCCCTCGGTAGTCGCGGGTGGATTTGTTCCTATAAATCCCCACTCCCTTGTCGCGAGTTTCATCGGAGTCCCCTCTCACAAAAACCCAGCGTACGCCGCTTGTGCTTCAAGGAATTATATAAGGTGACATATATATTTGTATGTTGAGGGTCTTTCGGCAAGCTTCCTGTCTCTGAACTGGAAAAGAGATATTCTGTTTATCACATCAAAGTTTTATCATGTAGTCAGGACGGCGTAAGCATCGCCGTCCTCTTTTTGCTTCCCGCCAGCTACACCTTTGCAGACAGGTACCAGTATGCGAAATGAAGTTGCCGAATCCGTATCTGTACCCAATGGTGAACCCAACCAAATACCTCGCCGTTTTCGTCCCACGAGAGTCAACAAGATGCCAAAAAAAAAACCAGGTAGTTCTCTTGGAATCCGTCGGCAAGGGGTATAATGTCGTTGGCTTCAGAGTTTCCTACGACAGTCGTTCCACTCGCAAGAAATAAACAATTGTTTTCGACGAAACAGAACCCGCTTTGTTGCAGCTTGTTGGGGTCCCGGGAGGACAAGGAACCCCACAGTGAGAACCTTCTGCTCCTTCGACTTCCGGTTGGGTTCAACCCGAAAGCGCACGGATTCAACGATCCGAACGACAAGGCGTCTGTCGCACGGATTCGTTCCCTCTCGGATGAAGTCTCGGGTTCGTTTTGGAAAGAAAAAAAAACGTTAATGCAGGGGCCGTTTGAGTTCACTTCGCGTTTCTTTCGGCACTCGTCTTGCCGTCTGCCGTTGGGTCATCAGAGGAGGTCGTTAACGTTGATGGATGACGATCCCGTTGCACGTCTTTATGCGAAGGGTTCGTATGGAGGGCAGGTTATTTAACGCTTCGTCGGGAAGGTGCTCGAAATACGTCTGATTTTGTTTCTCACTCTTGAGGGATGGCGCAGCTGGATGTGGGTGGGCAGGCCAGTGCTCTCCTCGTTATTCCCCTGGGGGAGAGGGGGGAAAAGGGGAAAGGGGGAAAGGGGGAAGGGGGGAAGGGGAGGGGAAGGAGAAGTCTGATGTTCTTTCATTATTTTGTTTTCTGCCATCACGTCACGCTCACGTTGCAGTGGGATCACCTAGTCGGGATTAATGATAGACTATGATGATGATAGACTGATGAGGTGACTGCTTGACATTCGCGAAGTAGGACATTCAGCTCCTCTTTCTGTAACGAAAGATGCAGCTGTATTGAACGATGCAGTGCTGGGCAATTCTTTTGAATTCCAGTTGTGCATACCAAATTGCATTTCCATCTCTGAATTCCGAGTGAAAAATCATGTGGGGTTCGAAATTTCCTGTCGGATGGCTCTTTTTGGGACTTAAATAATGAATTCCAGCTCCTGAAATGAGATTCCAATCTCGAATCTCTAAATTCGAGAGAATACTTCGTAAGTTGCGCTGAATATCATGTCTATAGTGAATGACGTCCAATATTACTTCAGAGAGGAACCGTGTCGCCAATAACCAGCAACCATTTTCTCATTGGGTCGCATAAATATTCCAATCACTCTTTGGCAAGGAAAAATGCCAAAGTTCCCATTTGTTTAAGTCTAATTCACCGGAACCAGATTGAATCTATTGTCGATTTCGGATCCGCCCTTAGCTGCTGGTGAAAAAATTCAGAGGTATTAGGACACATTTTTGGATCTTCATTCTGGCAAATTTTAATAGGCAAAGGAGGCGACGCAAGTCATGAAGCTGATTCCGCGACCCTTAAGTTCTTCATGAAGTAATTGGGTCGAAAATACATGGAGAAGCATTTCCATGACACGCTCTGCGTTCCACACGATTCCATTGCGTTGCAAGAACCATGAAAGCATTGGTTAGGGGCCATAAGATGTCAGATTCTGGAGAAAATGCACATTTCTGCCAAATCTGATGCAGATTTCTGTCTTCATATTTCTCCGGACACATTCAGCTGTTTTCGATTTGGGCATCGTTTTGATGCAAGCGTTTTGATGTTTTGCGTCGTTTGCATGGAATCTTTTACGCAGGTATCGCGTTCAGTATTAAAGTTACAACTTCTGGGCTCGATTTTCCAGAAATATTTTTCTTCTCTGGATTCTGAAGGTTTGAGTCTTCTCCCAACATTCTGCACTCGTTGAGTCAATGAACCAAAGCCTTGGAGGAATCCCGATGAAGATCAAGAACTCTTTTCAGGAAGGCTTCATTTTGCAAAGTTGAAATCGAGCTCGGAGCAAAGGCAGAAAAGCCTTCGAAGACAAAGTAGAAGCCTTGATCGCGATGCTCGACCGCTCGAGGACCTTCCCCGATAGAGACAAGCCAGAATGCCCCGACGGCGACTGGAGTCTTTCAGGATGTGAAACGTCCAGCCGAGGTGAGAGTCCTTTGCTCTCTTCTCTCAAACTCAAACTCTTCAAACCTAAATAGTCATAGAGGTTTACTACCTCAATCGTGGTCTGTTTGTCTACTAAGCCCCGATCAAGTTGAATATTTTCCCCCTGACTGAAACGCCCCTGTAGTTTCAGACGGAGAGGGCATTTTGAAAGACGATAAAATGACTTTGGATAAAATGCTTTAAAATGCCTGTGAAGAGGATATACGTTTTCACTCATCCTTTCAAGAGTGCTTTATGTCTGATGGTTTTTCCGGTTTGCTAGTTTGGTATTTGTCCTCTGAAGAAAGCCATATCAGTTGCTGAGATCTGACGATCAGATCTAGGCAATTCCCAACTATTGGAATCAGTTCTGGACCCTTCGCCTATCCAGAGCTTTGACCGAGATGATCCTCCACGTGGGGGAGTTACGGCTCCCGATCCCCAGCAGAGGTTAAAGTGACTGATGCAAAAGCGGTTAGAGAATGGGAAAGAAGCCCTTCAGATGCTCGTTGGAGACTGAGCCATGAATCCATGGGGATTTCCTGTTGGGCATCGTCGAGATGACTGGGGAAGCTTCTTCGCAGAAGCCGTCGTTATACCCTGCCTTCTCTTTTAATTGAGCGCATGAATTGGTGAAAAGTCATCTGGGGTTTGGGATGGGTCGAGGATTAAGGAGAGGTGGACTTTGAAGCAGGACAGTTCCATTGGTGCCGACGTTTAACGTGTTTTTTCTTGACAATAGGGACTAGAGGAGTGCGTGAGTCGTTCCTCAAGCGTGATTCATGCGTGACTCATGACTTTTCCCGTGACTCACGCAAGAACTAACGCAAGAAAGAACGTGGAGAAGGCACTCATCGTGAGCGTGATAAGAACAGAATTAACTCCCTCGTGATCGCAACATTTTTTTCTACCTAGGTACAAGCACAAGAAGGAAGAATAGAAGAAAAGGAAATTCTTCACACCTCGCTAGCTCAGTTTCGTTTGGATTGTCGGTTTTCAACACCTTTCGCCTAGCATTCCCTCTTCCACTTGTCTGACTCAACTCACGCGTGATCATGCAAATTTTGTGCAAATCGTGGATTTAAAATGGATGTGTGTTCCTCGTCATACTATTCTTTGCTTCCGTTTCTTTATTGAGACAAATGGAGTTGACTCTATTATTCACACATTGAGAGCATGGTCCACGTTTCGCCCAAAACTAGCCCATCATGATTATCCAGAATATTCGAGCTGATGTTGCTCTTCATTCTCGGTTCGTCCTCCCTCCTCCAGAGCCATTCAGATTTCATTTTCTTGTTTCCTGAGGGGAGAGAAGGTTTTGCTTTTTCATACATTTGGGATGAGATGAAGGCTGGTTGGTTGGTTGGTTGGATGGCTGTTGGCTGGTTGGTTAGATGGCTGGAAGGTACAATGACCATTTTGAGCAACACATGATCGGTCTTCCCAGTCATAGATCAACTCTTATCCCGAATCCCACGTGAATGCCACAATTACCTCACCAGCAGGGACTTCCTTGATCCACAAAGCAGTTCCAGTCCCTATTGGCATTTATAGAATGGCAATCGGAAGCAATTCGGCCACAACTTGAAATAGCATATCACAGTTGCAACAGATGTTTCCTCTGTCACTTGCTTTTTATGTCAAAATTTGGGTCATAAGAAGGTTTCACGCTGCTTTAGATTTTACCCTTTGTTATTCCTCGATCGCCATTGGAAGGAGGGGAATAGAGACAATAATATCCCTCGATGATTTGTTCTGTGGATTGTATTTTGGTCAATATTAGGATATGAGTCATCCCAGAGGTATAATTTTGGGGCACTTTTCTAGATAAGATTTAGGTCTTCAAAATTCGAAAGAATTGTTCTCGTGTCCTGAAATGACGTAGTTCAAAACGTAAAGAGGGTCTAGAACGGGTTTCCTTTGCTCAGAAATTGTGTTTCATTCCGCATCTAAAGCCTCCAGTTCTCGTTGTACTTCCTGTACTTTCATCAACGAGATCGCTCGTGTACTCCTCGTTGTTTTACGAGGGCTTTACTGTCAGGGCAGACAGAAATCCCAATCGGCTATTTTACGCCTTCTTCGAACCCTGCAATAGGAAATCAACCACGAGGCACAATGTCTGTGATATAAGTAAGAAAACTTTATTCCTATGTTCGTCTATGAGTGTGGTAGACGATGTCACCGGGTTTGTGGTAGAGGAGCAATCGTGAATACCTCACAGAGGATGAATGGGGCACGAAAAGGAAAGATGGCACGTCCTCGCATTCAGTAGGTGGCTGAGTTATCCCAGAAGGCTACTTTTTGTTTCTTCTCCTCCAGACATTTGCCCCACCAAGATCTCTTGGAGCACTGCATCTCCACCCTGAACTTGAAGCAGCGCATCTCGAGGGTGTTGAAGTAGAGCTTCCCGATAAGATTCGCCGTCTCCGAGCCGATCATCTTCAGGCAGGTCCGGAATCTGCGAGAATAGATTCGCCTTTTCAAGCGCAGCATTGCTAGCTATTATGTTACATTGCTAGCTGGGGAATCTCCCCCCTCCCCTTCACATGAGGGGCTTTTCAGGCTAACGAATTATGTATGAGGGGAATATCCCTGTATTTCTTCCATTTCCCTTCTGTGGAAACCGAACCCGATAGTATCTTGCTTATGCAACACGATTCGCTCACTATCAAATTCAAATTTTCAGACGTGGATTTAGAGGGTTTATACTTGGTGGGAAACTCCCATTTCGCTGCGAGAATAGGTCCCATAATGCCAACGAGCAGCATCACATTATACTGCCTTCCTAAAAATAATGAAATAAATAATAAGGTCCATGAACCTCCGAGTTCGGCAGATTCCGGGTTCGATCCCCTCCGTATATACAGGGGATTTTATTCTCATTCTTCACGTGTTTACGACATCCTTAGTGGTATCCTTGGAAGGAGTCCAGACGCTCGGTCGCGACCCTATCCGAACCCTACTCAAACGCGATTTCTCAGCATGGGGGAGTTTTCTCGCACTTTCTGCCAACGTGCGGAAGCATATATTGGCAGATCTAGGAAGAGATCCTGTTTGTTATTGTCATGGAGGAGCTGATGCTTACTCGTATGTTGGCATGAGACTCTTGGGAAGGTTCGGGTTCGGGAAAGGCATGAACGGTATAGGGAACCAACAGAAATACAATTTTAAGAAGTACAAAAAGAGTAGAAGAGACTTCCAGAATAAATGGTATAAATGACAATGTATTTACCGAATTTATCGGTAGAATCGGAATGGGCGGAATTATGGGCATGGCAGGAGCATTGGGAAGACAGGTCTAGGCGGAAATAAATGCAGACCCATAAAACGGTCAATGATTCCGCCCAGTCTCACTCGTTTTCTAAAATCATGAGAACAGATTCTCATAAGGAGAAACAAAAAAAGAGAATTTTGGCCATTCTTACAGTCTTGTCATTCATTAGGAACACCTTCCGAGAAGAAATAGCATTGAAAAAGAGATATTTGGTACTTTGGTGGAAGAGGTGCATGACCGCTGTATCAGCGTATATTAACTGTCAGCTTTGTAAGCGCCGCTTGCCTGATGGGCATGAAAAAATAAGCGACCCTTCCCAAGAACGATAACTCTTGAGCGCTCCTGAGGGTTGGGAGGAGTAGCATGCGCAATGCTTCACTTGTAGGTCTGGTCTTGCGAGACACTTGCGAATCCAAGAATGGTAACAACCAACAGGTACCTTCCTGTCTTCGAAATGTCCCAAAGGCAGGACTCAGGAAGGAATGGAGTGGAGAGAGGGAGGAGGGGGGGAGGTTCGATCATCTATTATTGAGACCGATGTCCCCAAGTTCCCTCCGCCGAGAACGTTAGTGATATCTGGAGTCTTCCATCTAAAATGACCCTTCTCAAAGAAACAAAAAAGTCATTCATATCGGTCCACGTATGCTGTTTGCCTGTCCGTCGATCTTTTGTGAGGCGATAAGCATATATGGCTTCGATATTTTCAGGGCAGACAGAAATCATGCAAGGAAAACATCTAGAGCGATTTATGTGCGATCAGAATGGGAAGCCGAATCGAATGTAATCCGGTATCTCTTCAATAACATGGATTTCGTCGTAATGCGATGGAAGTGGAAATTCATCATATATATATCATAGATATCGAGATGCAAGCAAAATATACCGGTACCCCTTCCCCAAAAGGCAAGATGTATGTCTGGATCAGATAAGGATTAACGACCCGCTTTTGAAAGCGAGGTAAACAGCCGGACAATCAGATGATTCCGTCTTTCTTGGTTACTCCACTCAACTCAATCGCTATGAATATGAAGAAAATAAGAATGGAAGTCCTGTATTCCTGGAAGGTGAGAATCGAGTCGATTTCGTTTCTCATTGCCTGAAGTTCTACTTCAACCCTACCTGCCCACCCACGACCATCAGCTAGCACAGAGGAAACGTTAAAAAAAAAATCGCATTTGCAAGACGACAGAAAAAAGGCCTCCTAAGACGAGGGTGGCATGTCCTTGTGCCAAATGCCAATGGGTGTTTCTGGGTCTGAGGAGGTGGAAGGACACTCCGATCTCTTCTAGGTTTGGGGTATGAAATTCCGCAGCTAATCTTTTGTTAGAAAGATCAGCTAAAAGAATATTGGTCTTGAAGAAAAGTCAAGGTCAAGGTCAGGGTAAGGGTCATGCTCTACTGGTCAAGTACTACTTCCCAATGCTAGAAGAGAGTGTGCTCAGTGCACTCTGCGCGAATGCTCTCAATTGGTTTTTTTTTTCTTCATTAAACTGAGTCCGATCCAGTATGACAAGATAGTTCACGATCGTCAACTCATCCCCCTATTTTAGCGGAATATAACATGAGATAATAAAAAAATTGGGCACTTGTCTTTCCTCAGGTCCATGCAGTGTGCAATTTTTTTTAATTCTATTCTAAATTCTAAACATGCTACCAAAAAGTGGGAGTTGTGACGACTTTGCAACTTCTCTTAAACTGCTTTCAATGGAGCTGGCCTGTTCCCACCGTAAGCTTAATATACCTTTCCAAAGATAACTGAGCGGTGAAGGCAAGGATACGAGAAGGCGTTGCCCTCACAGATCCAGTGCCTCAAAGCTGTCTGCACTCTTAGAAAAAGGGGAGCGATTTTTCTCAAAAAAGAGAGTAATACGTTCTAATACTCCTTTCAGAAGTATTAATAAAACCGTGTTCGTAGGGGCTCTCATAGGGAGTAAGAGCTTGATTTTTTCTGTCTCGAATATGCGGATAACAAATGATGAAGTGTCCGTGTTTATTGATTCCTATAATGAGGCTATGCGAGACATATGGCAAGGTGCTAAACAATCCTGCGAGGGCGATTCCAGGGAAAGAGGGAAGGGAACTTTTGTGTACTGTGCGGAAAGCGAAACCCTTACCTCCATCTAGTGGCCTGGCGAAGAATTTCAAGGTGTTCACTTCAATACGAGCGTTGAGGAGTATTTGGTGAGTAATGAGAGAGTAAATTCGAAAAGCTCACGGTGTGCTCACTTTCTACTCCCCAAACGCTTGGAATTTTCTAAGAGTGTGGCCCTTCTTGGTTCCTGTCTCTCCTATGACTCCACCTCATTCCTCTTCTTACTAGAATATGAATTCAACCTAGAAGAGTCATATGTAGCTCTGCCTGGAATGGGGCTCAGGATTCCGGGTGATTCTCTCTTTCCCTGCCAAGGATACCCCACCGCTCAGGCTTTTTTGGAATGGTATAATAGGCCTCTGATTATTTTTTTTACTTTGATTATATAGGGTGTCCCAAAAGGTATGAAAACATTTAAAAGTAAAAAATATATATCTAAATTATGCCTGGAATTCAATTATTAAAACAGTAAAATAAAGTCCTACTCAAACATTTGCAAACCTGTTATTGCAGTTCCACATGGGCACCATTTGTGAATCTGTAGATGCCTAAATGATGTTCGAACTCTTACCACACTCATGCTGAGTGTCAGGTACCCAGACAGCTACCCAGACAGTTACGCATTACACTCTGCATACGTTGTGGTAAGAGCTCGAACAACGTTTGAAAGTCTACAGAGCCACGAATAGTGACCATGTGGAATTGCAATAACAGGTTTTAAAATGGCTGAGTTGCACTTCCTTTAACTGTTTTAATAATTTTATTTGAGGCATAATTTAGAGAGATATGCACACGTTAAACATGTTTCCATTACTTTTGGGACACCCTGTATAAGTATTATATTCAATTTTCGTGAGATCTTTGGCCCTTATCCTCATTCCAATGTTTCTCTAGGGGAGTTCACAAACCTCTGGAAATTGCAAACGTTTTGAAAATAGAAAATCATGAAACCACCATGACACTTTCCAGCTGGCATTGAAACTGCGTGGACTACTGGTATGTTCGATGGGGCTGTGGCCCTTCAAATTCGGTGTCAAAGAATTGCTTTGACAGCGAGACAAACAAATAGGATGGCAGTGACAGGCTCATGTATTATAGGTTTTCATGGCCCCAATATTAAAATCGTGAGAGCAGACATTAACCGAAGACGGAGATGGAAGAGCTCCATGGAGTATACTTTCTCCTGGAAGAGCATGTAATGGGGACGAGGTCCTTGCACCCCTCTCCATAGACATCTAGTAGACGTCGAGGGAGTTCCTTTCCCTTCCCTATCATTTCCTCTCTAACGCTACCCACCCCAACCTTCGCCCCGTTCTCGGTCTGGAAGTTTCCAGCTCCGTTTGACTTCGGCAATGAGAAAAATAGAATCTCCTCACGGGACGGAACAGGAAAGAATGAAACGCCATTCTCTCATCATCGGGAGTTATATCGTCCAACAGGAACTGGAAGATGGACTGCTTTCCTTTCCAGTTTTTATTCAATGCTTTTTTTGTCGGGTACCCCTCCTCTTCCTTTGCTACTTTCTTTCGCATTAAATGCTCGATAGATGAATCAATGAAATCATATATCCGAGTCATACATTCAATCCGAAAAAAGGGTTAAAGATTTCCAATGCAAAGAGCCTCGAGGCGTACAATCACATGTGGTGACTTTCGGTTATTTTCATTGAAAATCACCACTTATATGGTGGAAGACCTCGTCCCCGTCCATGAACTTGTTGGGATGGGGGAAGGGGGGGGGGGGAGGATAAGCCGTGAGAGGCGAATGGGAGGCTTGGCCCTCTTGGCCTTGGTCCCTTGGCCTTGGCCCTTCAGGCTACGCCATAAGGGGCATGGATAGGGCAATTGTAAGGAGAATAAACAGACCTTTCGTCACAGTCGCAGTGACTGATTGTGTAGGGTCGGAAATTGTAGAGACCGTACTCGGTATCAAAGGATAGAACGGAATAAGGACAGGCGTCGTGGGTACGACAGCAAACATCTGGCGTCCCTCCGATGTGGTTGGCGTCCCTGGCTCGGTTCCCCTTCCCGCACCAGACCGTCCCTGGGACCCGAGTCAATTCCAACGTCTCCCTTTTCCTCCGTCTCCTCTCGTCACCGCTGTCACACGAGGGGGTGATCCGATTTCAATATCTCATGTCAGTAATTCGAAGGTGAGAGATACATGTAAGTGTTCAGGCAACAGATTTGGGATCTGAAACCTTCCAAACAGAGAGAAATCGGAAAACACTCTAAAATAGGCTGGGGTAGAGGGAAAATGCTATTAAGTCGTTGAAACTCGGTACCAATACTATTCCTTTTGGAGGTGACTCCCAGGCATATCTGCGATTCAGCTAGCTCTACGTTGCCTCGGACATTAATCAGGTGCTCTTGAAGGGAAGGAAATATAGAGCGTTGGCTACCTTTTCTCTCCGTTTCACCTTGCCGGGGGGAGACATTCACGTTTCTGGGTTTCGCCAAGCCCAGAGGGTACAGTGGTGTACACTTTGGTGTGCATCTATCTCGTACTCGAAGGTACGAAGTAAATGCACACCAAAAGAATTTCTGTCTGGACAAGGCATCGGAAAGGGCAACCGTCTGTATTCCCTCTCTTCTCGATCTCCTTCCTTCCTCCCTATTCCTTTCACCTCTCCCTTCAACAATCAAACCGTCCATTAAAACGATCGCATGCTGCTCGCGGAAGGGTCCTCTAATTTGATACTGGATGCGTCCACTAAACGAGTGCTCGGCTGAATCACTTCTCTCAAGGCATCGATCAGTTATTCCGTCTACGAAGCGCTCGTATTTTCATTTCCTTGATGACCGATTCCCATCATCGGTCGAATATAGCCAACTCCACTTGTATGTCCTAATGGAGTGAATCGGTCCAGTTGTATTAATATAACAGGAAGAAATGCGTAGAATAGAGGAAGCGTCGGGGAAGATGCCTCATCGCTCTGAACACACCCCCTTTCTTTCCGTTTCCGTCACTGCATCAACGCATTCAATCCGAAGAAGGAAAAGGGGGATTTCCTAACTAGCAAAACTCGATTTATTGGAATGCCTGCCAAGTCGAAATTTATTACATTTTTACATTAATATGTATGATCCTCTTCGTATCCATCTCCGACACTGGAGCCATTATGAATGAAATGGATGGGAAAAGCTGGATTTTCCGACGATTCCTTTTCCGCCTGTCGTATGGACCTTTTCACTCCCTTCATCCCAAATCAATCGAAAATCCTTTGGGGGTTGCGGGTAAGCATCATTGCGAGTAGACCTGAGAATCGCATCGGAAAGGTCTCAAATTGTCGCTCTCCCATTTAAACTATATGTTTTCTCCTTTGCTTTTCCGCTGTTTATTCTTGATTTAAGTTCTGATATAAATTTTGATTCTGAAACTGTTGAACACGAGCTACTATCTCAACTTGTAATAAGACCAAAAGGAAATTCAGAACTATGAATGCGCAAAATCTCGATGAAGCTTCTGGGCTGGAAACACGGGAGCAGTCCAAAAGCTATTTCATTCTTATTGACGATACACAGCATGCAAATTATTAGCTGTTATGCATATTATGATGATTATAAGTCTAATTTGTGGCTCAGTTGGCAGCAATCGAGAAACGTTTCATTGCCTATACGCTGTCAACATGTTCCTTCTCCGGTTCGACTAAATATAAAGATGATATCTATGCGATGTGCATGAAAGGGTCGTAAATCGTGAACCATGATCTCTCTGTCGATAGACGGAATGCGATTCCACGTCCCCCGTCTTGTTATGCTCCAACCGTTGAATCTGACTGAATCTTTTTCCTCGTACGACTCGGATTCTTAAGGTTCGGGAGAGGAGACACACCCACCCGTCCAGATATTTCTCCAAGATGTTGCCGTGAAGAAGGCTGCACTCCTTGGCGAGTCCCCGAACGCGCAGGAGGCGTCGGAGGCTCCGATCCAGCTGGGACTTCCCGGTGAAGCGATGGGTGAGGGACGCGGTCGCCGAGGCGTTCCGAGATTCCTCCCAGTCCTCGCGGAATCGTCGGCTTTCCTCTCCGTTCTTGATCACCTCGCAGTCGGTCATGTTGCCCTCGTAGAAGATGGCTCGAATCACCGTCGGTCCCTTGGAGACCTCACCCACTTCCAGTCCGTGCCTTGAAAAAAAAAAAACAGCTCGAACCACTTCGTCCTGGGAAAGTCATGAACCAACTCATGACGAGACATTAGCAAATCTCACATCTTTCAGGATTTTGAGATTTTGGGAACATAGTATTGCGTTTCGCGCAAGTGTGTACCTCCGATACCTGTTGCTTTGACTCGCAGTCCAATGCATTGGCATTATTCAACTCGTGACGTGACCTTTTCCTTTAAAAGAATTGGAAGAGTCGTCTAGTCATATGGCCCACTCATGATGTGCTTTCGTGAGGTGATGTCGATAAACTTATAAATGCCATACCATACTGCCACAGAGCCCACAAAAATCGAGCGACAATTTCACACTAGTTCATGGATGGGCCAGTATTCTGCCATGCGTAATGGAAATGTTCGAACAACGGAGATGGGTGTGCCGCCTAGATTTAGCGTTCACGCCTTCCATGACCTTATTGCGAGCAGTTACATCCGGAAGGACGATTGGAAATGTTCGCAGTGAGGATCCCCAGTCTTCCCACTTGTTCCAACCCTTATTGGTATGTATCTGATAGGTTCTAACGCCACATCCCAAAGGGACCGTGGTCAACAGTCTGACACTGTTCTTCACTTGAGTCGGACATTCTTTCTCGCGACTCTGACTCCCAGGCACAGGGCATGTCATGATTGGTACTGAAGGCGAGGGAAAATTTCCCGAAAGTGAACACGATAGTTCACCATTGTTTCACTAATGCTTTCACCGAGATATATGTCGGGGTGTTTATTAATTGGGTTGAACATTTCTCGAATAGAGATAAGCACGCCAATCGAATTGCTGCGCTGAATTCGTAGCGGTCGACATCATCGAACATATGAATGCTATTAAAGCGCCCTAATGCACTTGATGTAGGTATCTAAAGAAATGAAGGGTCAACTAATATAAAACCTAATTAAGGTTAGCAAAATGTTGAGAGAGGCGTTCCGTATCACTGGAATGTATAAAAAGAAAAATTTCCAGATATTGTGAAGCATGACACGAACAACCATAAGCATGAACAAACATGACACAACAAAAAAACTGACGCCCTTCCGTGTATCTTGAACAGGAGTGGATGGGTATGGAATTGTGATGGTACCGTGCGGGAGAGATAAGAACTGGAAGTTGTTGGTTCGGCATATGGAACTAGGAAAACTCGAGGAAAAGAGAGTGTAGGAGCGGAGTGGATAGGATCTTGTGGGACGTCGAATGTGGTGCTCGTGAGAATGGAATGCTGAGGGGGAAGGCAAGAAAGTGAGAGGATAGATGTTCACGCATTCCAGCTGTGGGAGTTGCTTATCGGAAGGGTGTGAGTGTCTGGTGTGAATTCAGAAAGATGGGCGGTTGCATGCTGCATTCCACAGTCTGACACGATCTGGTTAAAAAAAAAGGTGAATAATTTTCCTTTCCGTTTCATAAGAATTTAATATCAATGAAGACGAGCTATGCATGTTAGTAGAAATATTTACATTAAATTCGAAACCCCCAAACCCTTTGGGTGAAAAGAGGGCGGAAAATGCGCAAGTAGAGAACTTTAATGCGAATGCTTCCACCCACGTGAAGGGTTGGTCTATAAGGGTAAACATCTGGTAGTCCATTATCTAGTCCAGTGGTTCCCAGACTTCTTTGAATCGCGACCCACTTGCTGACGTACAGAAAATTTCACGACCGACCGAAATCGAGAACGAAGTATTTTAAAAGTAATTATGACGAGGGGAAATCGATCGACCTTTGCTGCAGGGTATGCTTTATCCCGAGCGGATGCAGAAGTAGTGAATTTTTTATACTGGGAAAATGTACGTGACCCACCTTGATGCTTCTCGCGACCCACAGTTTGGGAACCGCTGATCTATTCGACGAATGCCTCTCAAATGCAATTAGCTCAGGGACTGTAGTTTGGGATTTAAATGCAAGAAATCCTCCCTCTTGAGAGGATTTCTCATTGCTGCAGGGAAAGAGGACGCGGAAATTTGCGGGAAATGTGCACCATTCGCTGACTCAACGAGAGCGTATACGCTCTCTTTGAGTCAGTGAGTCAGTCAGTTGAGTTGAGAGCGTATACGCACAAAAAAAAGAAGCCATGATCAACCATAACAATCAATGAGGACTCCATTTGTTCAAAGGCGTTAAGAGCCAGCAAGACACCCCGGTGATGGCAATCGGGATGCTGCTTGTTGCACTTCTCAAACTCTAAACAGGGTTGTCAGCGGGCAGTAATTGCATCCTCCGTCTTCGTGATCGAGACCCTGTCATCGACAGTTCTGAAAGACGTGAATAAACGTGGAAGGAAACGCCACGAGATTTGGGAGAAACGTATTTTCTTATGGGTCTTTCATATTGGAGAGGCAACATGCCAAAGCCAATGCTTGGGAGTTTACACAAAATGGAGTTATGCGGTTTCCGACAAGTGCATGAGGAACATGGGAGAACTGCACGATGCATCTTCCCATTGCCATTGCCAAAAAAGTTTTTGTTTTTCATGTTCTGTTCAAGCTTCATCACCGTTTCAAGACGGCCGGCTTGATGTCGAGATCAGGTAATCCGTTCGACACTTTCTCTGTTGCCGAATATGAAGAGGCCAAGAAGTGGTAACTCTTCCCTCGTCAACTCGTTCACCGTGGAGACGAGAGCTAGAAAGTAACCCTTTGATATTGCCATCACTCTACAACCCATTCCTGGCATTCCAGCGGTGAAGGAGCCGACCGAGACGGCAGGGTTTCGACTGCCCTCATCGGAATAAATCAGAGCAGGTCAAAATCCTCAAGCCGGCATTCCTGCGTTTTATATGCCTATTTATTTATATCCTTGGGAGACGTGAGTGGGAAATTCATACGGAGATAAGTAGCTAATTAGGTCGACCATACGAAGATGGAATGCGAAATCTCCGGTTTTCAAATTTGAATATGTGACGCTTCCCCTTCTCGATGCCGAAATGAAAGAGCAATCGTTGTCCCGGAGCAATTGTAGGTCAGGCAGAAGAGAGTGATCTGTTCAATGTTAGCCTCAACCGACACGAGGAAGGGTGAAGGGGCGGAGCCTGGATAAAAATAGGGGGGGGAGGGGGGGAGGGGAGGGGGGAGGTTTCTGAACCCTAAGGAATCCTTCTGGATTTTCGCACTCCTTGAATTTGTCACTTGGAGATCTCGTACGATAGGGAGGTTCAACGCAGAGGGATATTCCATTTTCAAGCCGGTCTCTCTCTCTCTCTTGTATTCCATTGGGTGGAATGCGTTTCTAAAAAGGCATATTTTGTCTCGAAATATGCAGTGGACGTTACGGAATGTCGTGGAAACAACGTAGGAAGACTGAAATTTCTGTCATTGTGCCATACTCCGTTGGCTCCGAGATTTTGCCTTTGAATGCCAAAACAATCCTCTTTTGCAGTTTTCTGGGCACGGAAGTTGCTTCTGACTTCTCTTGGATTTTCTCATTTTAAAATGCCGACGAAAACTCTGGTCGCACTATTTGAGATGGAATCAGGTAGCATAGGACAAATTTTGCTCCCTAGGCTCTTGTCTCTACAAAACTGACGTCGGCATGCATAATTTGTTTTAAATTCGTCTTGGAATTCATATGCAACAATTTTTTAACTTCAATCACTGCCTGTGAATTCCAACGCATCACAGTAAGAATTTATGTGTGATTCAGCGGATTTGCAGCGGAGATAGAAGGTTAAACGATAAATTACCTTTGGAATCAACCCGAGACGTTAAACCGCGAATACGTCCACGATCGCTCGACGATCAGTGAAAGTCGGGCGAGAAAGTTTGAGAGGCAAAATTCTCGTCGAGAGGAAAAATTTCGGGACTGACCCATCTGCGGTAGACCTGGCCCGAATCCCCTTGTGATGCACGAGAAGCTGCACTTCCCCATCCGGAAGAAGGGACTTCACCTCGAGATACACCGACGAGGAAACGGAAGACGACGGAAGGAAAAAACAGGATAAAAGGGGGAAGAGGGCGACGAAGGAGACGAGTGAAGGTTTCATCCTCTCCGGCGTGCGATCGACCGTCGAATGACGTTCGTGCACTTGCATGTGGAGGTCGTAAAAAGTCTTATTTATGACTCGTCTGCCTCGAGACGCCGCGCACGAACCCTCGACCTTCCATCTATCTTCCAGGTACTTTGTTGATATTAAAGACCGGCGCCCGATCGCTCATCGTTTACACCATTCCCCCCTCGTGGGTGCCATCACATGCGCACATCGCTCCTGCAGGAGCCGACACCTTCCGGTCGGAGCGGAAGCCGGTCGTGAGAGCGTGCCCCTGTCCCTCGTCGTCCTTGTCGATTGCCAGGGACGTGAGCGAGTCGTGAGAGGTGAATAATGATCGCGAGACGTGCTTTATTCGTTCGTGTCTCTTCCGGTCCTTCGGGAGTGATTCACTACTGCACGTGACAATCTTAAGATGCAGTTCAAGATATAATCGGGTCTTTCTCGATGACCCTGTGAACCGCCCAGAGTATTTCAAAATTCACGCGGAATCCAAGCATAGACACAGCCGTGTCGAAAAGCTTGGAGAGAAATGCATCCGACTTTCATTATTGGATTCACCAGCAACGAAAGGGATAACAAACGACAATCCCATTAGTCTGCCGGTAGAATCCCATTAGTCTACTTCTGCAGCATCGAATGAGGGTCCTGTTCTCGTCTCTTAATTTATAGGCGGATACTCCTGTAGTACTTGCGCTATCTTTCATGGACCAGGATGATTAATGAGATGATTCATGAGAGCCCCGAATGAAATTCTTTACAACTATGAGAGCTTTTATCTCGGGTAAAAAGAATACTATTTATCCGCATCAATTAAGCCCACAAAGGCACGCTATCCATCTGATGGGAAATTCTGCCATCTCTAAACTTCAGCGAGGACACGAAATAATGCCAGTTTCGTCGATGACTAAAGGGGAGAGGAAAAATTCACACTTTTCATTCCTTCCATAAACCTTGCAGTACTCACTTCCGACGACCAAATAAGGAAGGAGGAAGTTAATCGTGGAGTGAGGATCTGGTCAATGTGGAATTATTAGTAACAGTTTTCCACGCTCGGAGGAGAGGTTTCCCAAAACCTTCCAAAGTGGCCCGTCATAGACTCTCAGCTTCCTTATGGAAAACTTACTTCCATGATAATGATGAAACGGAGACCTACTTCATGATTTTTTTATCCAATGAGAAAGCGACACCGTTTCCAAGAATTTTTGGATCAAGTCGCCTGAAATTCCCTTCTTAAGCGACTCGGCACGAAAAATGCTCCTTTCAACGGAAACACGACAGGGTGTTTCTCCAGAGGGATGCCACAAGGGATGCCACGAGGGATGCCACGAGGGATGCCTCGAGGAATGTCATCGATGTGGCATCCCGTTCCCCAGGTAAACATATTCTGTAGACTCTCCAAAGAAAGAAGTCTTATATAATTCTATTATATCTCTCAATAGAATTATATTAAATCACTATGGAAATTCTATGGAGATTCTATAGAAATCCTATCAAGAATCTTACCAAATTTCTTGAGAATTCTACGAAGACACTGGTAAAGAAATTCTACAGAATTTCTATTGGGCTGTATGAATTACTTTTATGTCACTGCCTAGAAAGTGTACAGAATTTATATTGAATTTCATGAACTTCTGTAGTAAGCGTATTGAAATCCCATCAAATTTCTTTGAAAATAAATGGATGCAAATAGTGTTCCCAATGGAAACGATGAAGAATTAAAGATAGCCTTTTTTCTTCGACTTCAGCTCGTACAGAGGTCATCTATAATTTTATAGAATGTGAAGAGCCTTTTAGAAAGCTCATATCCGATTAATTTACGATGAACTCGTGAAAGGATCGGCATATGGTTGCGGAAGGAAATGGCACAGGTCGTAGTTGTGAACTACTGGAAATCCTCATGGGGATCTTGCATCGGAGAATCCTTCCATCCCGAGCGGTGCAATTTTGAAGAGCTGCGCCGATTGGGATAAGGCTGCAAAAAGTGAAAATGAACTTTGGAATACGAGAAACTGGACGAACCAAAACGTCTCTATCTGGCCTCCCAGATGGGAGGCCAGAGCCTCGAGCCCTCCCCTGGCTCATAGGCGATGGATAAGTGACATCACACAGTGCACGCAATACAGAAGTATACGCACGATAGCAGGGAGGCCGGCCTCACCGGTTGCATCGTGCACTAACGGGTGACTGCTAACAAGTACACCGTCTTGTCTTTAGGTTCCTTTGCTTTTAAGTATGTCTTTAGGTTCCTTTGCCGAAATCAGAAAGCTGCTTGGTCAGCCTAATCCGCATTGCCAATATGTATCAATGTAGTTTCCACGATTGAAAAAGAGAGAGCATATAGTCTTCGGGATCATTATACTCGTAGATGAGCTAGATGTGTTTTTTTTTTTTTAAGTCCCGAAATTCACAAGGAGTGTAAGTCGTGGGATCGATAATTTTCTCCTCGGACCGGATGCACCTCTACTCTTCAGTGTTCCAAGAATCTTCAATTTCCGCTCTCCTTTTACATGTTTTCCATTCGATATAAGCTGCCAACACGGAACGTTCAGCCTTTTATTGCAACCACCTGCCACTTGAAGCAGTGCGACCCATCAGGCGACAAGACCGACCTAAACACACCTTTCGTGTTTCATGCTCCCATTGTTACGACTACGATCTCTTGCTCATTGTGATGGCGTGCTGGCCGTTCCAAATTTTCGTCCATTCGCCGCTACTGTTTACCCACGTGATGGTATCCTTCCCGCTTGCGCGGTTTCTAGCCCCTATATCTTACTATGCCAATCTGTAGAGTCCTATCCAGATTCAACGAGTGGTTTATTGATGTCTATAGAACTACATTGAAAACTCGACAGAAGTCTTTAGGTCTCTACAACATTTTTGCCTGGGTCTCCAGCAGGTGAGGAAATGACTTCAGCGCAACGATGTAATACAGAGGCATGGTTATGTGATAGGACTCGAATAAAATAGGAAACTCGAGGGGATGATCTCCAACATCTGTTTGAAATTTAGTTTTCGCTTTGGGGGGGGGGGGGGAAGTAGGAATTTCAGTAGCAACCTCTCTCCGTGACATTAGGAAGTAACCGTTCCCACATGGGGAGATAGATGGCAGGGTGACTTTGTACTGCTGCAACTGAGGATCTTCAACGTTTCCCTCATTTCAATGCAACTTTGAATCTCATGTGATGGAGGGAATACTTCAAGGATGTCTGGTCACAAGAGCATTTAAATACTACGTCATAGCTAGCGATGAACCAGTTGAAGTATGGAAGCGGCAACAACGAAGAGGAAGTGCGTTGATCCCACCTACCACTCCTCTCACCTCCTCCCACTCCCTTTCCCTCTCCTTCCCCTCCCTCCCCCTTTCTCTCCCCCCTGTTCCTCTGCCTCATTCCTCCTTCCCCGCGTCGCCATATATATTGTACTTTTAGTCGGGCCTTTCGGCCAAGACATTCTTCTGTAAACATCACTATATACACTCTTAAGTATATTGTGATTGCCATTGATTACAGGTATCTGCTTCGGCAATACATGTTTTATAATTCCAGCAATAAATTATGGAAATGGTGCTCCTACTAAGGCCGAGTTCATACTCGTGCTGTACGGCATGCTGGATGTTGCAACTGCATACTTTGTTCAAAAATCCTATGGACGTTGACATTGAATTTTTTTTACCATAGTATGCAGTTTCAACATCCAGCATGCTGTAGAGCACTGCGATGAACTTGGTCTAACCCTCGAACTTAAGGGTACGCCATTCTCGCACCGAAGATGTAAGAGAACTTTTTTCTCTCTCTCTCTTTCCCACTCACGTTCCTTAATTGCCTTTCGGTGGGTTGGGCGTGAGATGAGAGAAAAATGGGTTCACATCCCCAGCGTCGCATCGCACTTCTCCCTCTTTAATCTTGTTGGGAAACTTCGGAATGAAGAATGATGTCTCCTTGCAACAGCAGGCGTTGCGTCGCATTACTTTTATTTACTTTTATGGCACACTTTGAGATTCTCAAGCTTATTGTCAACATTAATTGCTTCAAGTTACAACACGAGCCGTCATTGCTGCGATGATCACCTGTCATGAAGTGAAAGTGAGATAAGAAACGATGAGTTAAGGGTTTTAAGATTGTATTCTCTTCGTGACATGATGGAAAGGGAGGGGGAGTACGTTGCAGAACTGCAATGTATGGGTATCTGAAATCCATTATGATCCATGCTTCACAGAATGGACCATGAGTCCTTTCATTTGTAGTTATCTTTTCTTTTCCTTTTGATTTGGGTAACTACCTGAAATGAGAGTCAAAAGCGTATTAGCGGCTTGATGCCCTGAACTCAACAACGGTAGTACAGTAGAACCTCGGTTATCCGGGCCTCGATTAACCGGTGATCGGATTATCCGTGCGTCTTTGTCGTCGACGTTTTTTTTTCGATACGTGATTAGTATTTTATGAATAAATCGCATTTTAGTTAATATACCATAGCATTACATGTTTTTTTTCGAATTCTGGATTATCCGTGGTTTTCGATTATCCGGCGAAGGTCTCCCGGTCATTAGCCCGGATAATCGAGGTTTTACTGTAATTAGTTGCTGCCGTGTCAATTAGGAACAGTCGTGGACGGTACATGAGCTCCAGGACGCTATGCACGCAGGATTTGTAGACATAACAATAACTGTGCTTCGTAAGGCTTCTCGAAGAACCAGGCGATAACTGCATCCAAGCGAGAACGTTGATGAGAACCACTCTGATGGTGCATCAGAGTGGAGTGGCTCTCACGGAAGAGATCACCTTGAGTGCGAGTGGCTCGGTTGGTAACGAGCTTGGCTCCCGTGGCAGGGGACCGGCGTTCGGACCGAAGCAAACCCCGGCGTGCATTGGGGAAGGAAACCTGAGAGCTTGGCTCTCCTGTCTCAGATTGTGGGGTATTAAAAGATCCTCGGCGGTGAAGGCTGAACCTAGGAAGCGTATCCCCGGAGTAAACAAAGGGACCCAATTGAGTCGCCCAGAGTCACTCGTGTTACTTGACGTTACGTGAGAGGGCACGTGGGCGTTTCACACTTTGCGTGTCATGGATCCTTTGTGTGGATGCTTGGGCAGGTAGGCAAACGCACGGATGCACACGCATGTCCACTTACATCCGAGGGTTTTCGCTAAACGCAAGGCTTGCTTTTTCAATTGAACTGATCCCACTTCCACGCGAAAGCCTTTTTTTCAAATGGTTTTGTGAAAACCATTTGATGCAAGTGGACATGCGAGTGCACGCGTGCATCTGCATACCTTCCCGAGCATTGATGCAAAGGATGTACGACACGCAAAATGTGAACTGCCTTTAGATGGAAGGGTGGGTTAAGCTGGTGATCCAGTCAGGTAGCAGCCATGGCCCTGTACCTCTTAACGCATCGCATTAAAGCAGTGATTCTCAACCTTTTCGGTCCTGCGGCCCACCTTAAGAACTGCAAAGTGATCCAAGGCCCATTACAGACTTTAAAGCTATATAATTTTCGTTCGTCTAACTGTTACTTGCAATTTTTTAATTTACAGATACTTGTCATGGCCCACCCGCGGCACCTCCGTGGCTCACCAGTAGGTCGCGGCCCAGCGGTTGAGAACCGCTGCATTAGGGCAATGGAAAGTGACCTACTACCTACCCTATATTTGAGCTGCCCCTTATTAACTCCAGAGCAAAGTTAGCCTCCATGTGTCTTTTTTTTTCATTTTCTTTGCATCTGCTTTAAAGAATATCGTTTCTCACGGAGCAATAATCCGTAATGGAACTTACCAAAGCGGCCATGGACGCCGCCACATCTTGGTTCTTTTCGTCAAGGTTGCCCGAAAGTTGGATTGCTCCTACCTGGTCTACAGCGTCTCTGCCTCATCAGGCATATATTCTCAAACCTAGCGACTTATTTCATCTTTCATTTTTTTGTTTTGTATGTGTTATCTTAGTCCTTAGGGCACGATAATAAATGCTCGTCTACATGCACGTTTTACTTCAGCCCAGCATGGTAGCCTCATGCTATCGCTGGTGGCATGGCCGCGACCTGAGACCATTGGCGGCCTTAGGATCTTATTCGGCTTGGGTTAGAGTATCGGTCCTGGGTCTTGGAGAGAGAAATCGTTTTCCCCACCTTTGTGCACTTTCCAGATTGATTCCCTAGGAGCTTGGAGAGAACTCTGTACCCAAAAAGCAGTTAAAGGCTGCTTTCCTCTAAGCTGAAATTGTTTCTAGTGTGAAACTTGGAAACTCAGGAAAAAGGTGGTCTTAACAACCTGTATCTCAGAGCCTATTCAGGCGGATAACTTAGAGGACAGAGTCTCTTATGGAGGATTAGACAGAACCTAGGCATTTAGGCGTAAACTTAAGCCTGACATTACGGATTTTGAGTGGAAATACATCAACTGTAGATGCCCTTAGTGTTCGCTTGCACTTGGACGTAGTGCCAAATCCATTATATCTGAAGCCAACCATGATAAGCTCTGTAAAGGCCTATATTTGATAGTTTGGTTGTGGCTTCTAAGCAAGTCTACCATATATATTTTTTTAGGTCAGCTGAGATTTTATGCAAGCACATGAACTGAAGCCATTTAGTTGCTTTCTTTCTTTAGAAAGGAAGTGTCAGTTTTCTTGGGCAGAGGAGCAGCAAGTTAAATGCCCAATTATAAAATCGGCATGTCCTTTTCCAAGAATGATGCCCCTTCTTTTTATTTTCCTATTCTATATGCATATTAATACAAGTATTCAAAGAAAATGTTTCCTAAAATAACCCACTGTGAAAGACATTTCCATAGTTGATTCTTTATCCGTGTTTTTGAATCGTGTAAATTTTTAGGGGTCTGTATGCAGTAAAAATGTGCCCACAGTCCTAGGGAGACTTGAAGTATATTATGTTTAGAGTTTGTATCTAAACTTGACTAAGGTTTGCTAATTAAGAAGCAAGGCCATGAGTTTCCATACACAAATGCATGGTTTTTATGCCTTTTAAGCTAGGATAATGTGGATTTCCATGTTGATGGGGTAGCAGAGGAAACTACTCACATATTGTACAATAGGTTAACTCTCCATTCTGCCTACTTTCATATCATTCTTTGCTCTAGTTCTTGTAGGTGAACAGGGAACACTAGAGACTAATCCATAAAATAGATATTTCCCTTGTTATGGATAAATAATTTCTTCAGATACAAATTTCTCACATGGTATTGAGATAAATGCAAAGAGACATGATTTTGAAATGCTTTAGGATAAGTTGTTGCCATTAAAGTATTTGCCCTTTGTTAAGCCCACCCAGGTCTGGGGGCTTAGGGGAACTCTTGGAATGCTTGCCATAGTTATCTCATACTTACATCCTCTTGATGCCTAGGATTGGAGGACCAAATTTTCTTTTATTTTTCTCTTGAGTCCTTAGATGAAATTAGAGAATTGGGCTCTAACCTACATTTGGAGAATTAGGATCAGTGAGGTTTGAAGACAATCCTTGCCACTGTTATGACTCAACACAACAGAATGCAGAGAGAAAAAGATTGCTTCTTTGTTCTCTTTTGCTTGTGCATTCTCTGGTCCTAATGAAGAGTTCTTACTCCAAAAGCTTGATTGTGTCTTGTTATCTCTTTCCTTCTCATCATGTACTTGCTTCTTGTGTTTCTGCTCCTGTCTTGCCTCCTAACATTCTTTGAGATACTGAGTTGCACAGTACTCCTCTTTGAGTTATGTATTTTTCTTGTCAACAATCTTCCTCCAAGCTAAAATTTTCATTGAGGAACAAAAGGGGAAACCATCAGAGGACTCATTGGAATGTGCGGTAGATTAATTTTGTACACCTGTAGTTGCTATGGAAGTTTAAATAAGCACATCTCTTGGCCAGTGAAAATGGACATAGGCCTAAAGTTGTGATCATTGCATCTGTATACCAAGAAAAGATCATTCCAATAGGAGACAATAATGAACAATAGCTCATGCTCTAATGCTTAGACTTACTCTTCAAAAAACTACCCTGGATAGGATGTATACACTGTTTCCAGATCGAATTTGTACCCCCTATAGGAATTCGTACCCCCTATATATTCCATTGATTGCAGGTAGTGACATCTTACACATGGGTTGTTTTGCCTATCGCCTGCTGAGGTGAAACCTCTGGAAATGTGTGTTTCCTTCATTCACCACAATAGGGGGATGGTATGAATTCAATCCAGAAACAGTGTATGTTACAGGCAGAGTATAAAGTTCAGGTAATGTATATAAAACCTAGGTATTATCTATGGTATGTCTGATTTCATACCATGCCAGTAACATATACACCTTTAGAGAAAATCAACTACTAGTATATTGTACTAAGTCTACATTTATCTAATGTATATTATATTCATTTGATCCAAACCTAGGTAAATAATGCTGTGATGGCTTATTGGACTAGTAGCCTAGGCCTACCCAATCATTGCCTAAATGAAAATCTATTCATATTTATAAAATGCAGATTGAGAAGTCTTTCATTGAGTTGAACTTACAAGGAGAGTGATGAAGATACAATGATCATATAAGATTCTCCAGGCCTGCTCATGATTGGCTATTCCTTTGAAAGAGGATGTCATCTTATAACCATGAAGCAGTAAGTCATCAGTTTCATCCTATCATACTTCATTTTTTCAATTGAATTTGCACCCTTCTCAGTAGTGGAGAACATAGAAAGTACAGCTTTCAGATGTTCCATGAAGTCACTCATCTGGAAGGCATTACTGCCTGCTATCAATGTAGGCCCTTCTCTGGAGGGGCGGAAATTCAATTCAAAAGCAGTGTATTTTCTGATGTGAATTATTGTTGTATTATGACACTTAACTTCCTCTAGTCATATTGGTTCAAAACTTGATAGGTTTCTTCTAATTAGCTCATAAATGCATCATTTTTCTTCAGGGCATAAAAAATCCAGCCCTGGTGAAATCCTCTGTTTCTAACCCTCTGACTTCACTAATAGGCCTGTCATGTCTAGAACTATGTCATTATATTGGTCACTATCATTACCGGCTAGCTGCAATTTCTAGGTTCTGCAGAACTGGATGAGAACATGATTAAGTAACTGATACTAGGGATATCCAATCAAAAAAATTAATTTTCCTTCATCTCACCTAGTCCTGTCCCATCTTGGTGACTTTTTTCCACACCAGTCCTGTCCTATTTAGTCATGCTTGAGTCAGGACAGGTTTGGAGGGCTAGCCCTACCCTGGTAGTATGTTTCATGCTGCTGTAGGTACTTGCAGAACCCAACACCTTCATAATTTGGCTTGCTCGATACATGAGTGGAATTTTATTTAATGGAAACTCAGATTTGAGTAATCAGTAAATGTTCATGAAAATGAAATTCAATTGAAATATTTTTATTTTGGATTAATATAGAATTATATAAGGAAAAAAAAGCATTACTTTGGCCAACTTTGTGTCATTTACACTAAGTCAATCCTTATGTCATCCCTATTTCATATCATTTCTATTTTTAAAGTCTTAGTCATGAAACCATGAAAGTGTTACAAGGAGTATTTAGCTTTCAAAAGTACCTCTCTCATTGCTGTATAACTTTTTCCTTTTTTCCAATCTTATAGCATCCCTTCTCACATTTCGTTCTTTAGCCCCAGCTGATCCAGGCAATTTTTGAAGATTCCTGGACTGATGTAGAACTCCTGATTGGAGAGGGTTATGAGGTGAATTCAAGTGATGAAGATGGTCGAACCCCATTGCATGCAGCAGCTTTCATTGGAAATCCAGATGTAGTGGAGCACCTTGTTCAAGCTGGAGCACGGGTCAATGCCAAGGACGATGAATGGATCACCCCACTCCATCGTGCTTGCTCTGCTGGGAAGCCTGCAAGTTTTTTAACTAATTATTTTTGCCTTTTCTTCTCATTTCCATGTACAAGATAATGTCATGTTATTAATGTACTCTGATCAATTGCTGATTTATACCAGTAATTAAAGCCTTGCTCAGGGTTTTCTCCAAAATGATCAATATTTCATTTTGTAAGCGAGGGAAAGATGCCAAAGAAAGGGAAGGGAGGGCCAGTTGTCAGTTGAACCAAAGCAGTTTGCAGCAACCTGCTTGTCTCCCTACTTGAAAACCATGCCATGCCTTAAAAGTGGATGAAGATTCATTACTTGCCACTGCATTTACCAGCACTTTCCATAGAAAGGCAGTTCTGAAGTTATTGACTTACTTCAATGGTCAACAAATCCTATGCTATGCCTAAGAGTTGGTCAAGTCTAGAGATCCTCCTTCATGGGTCCTTTATAGAATGTAGGTATGTATGCCTATTGGAAGTAAAAGTTCCTCATTTCATCGTGAATGAAATAAAGACATTTTCAATGTTAATGTTATTACAGTTTGGACAATAGTTCAGTCTATAATTTCCCTTAGAATTCTGTCTGATTAGAATTAATCTGCTTTCCTTACTATTCAAATGTGATTTTTAACCGTTGGAATTTCAGAGAGACATATTGTCATTTCAGTATGAGAGATAATTATCCTTGAAATAATATTTAGAAGCTGTGTCAGCAGCACTCTATTCAATGGGCAAGGAAATACAATGTAACTAGACATATTTGTGCTGATTTAATTTTACAAAATGTTTCTATTTGCCTTATTTATATACTAAATGATCAGTGACAGTGAACAAAAACTTGTTTATTAATCACCCTGCTTTTACTGATTGATTAAATAGATGATACAGGAGTAAATGCAATTATCAGATTCCAAAGAGCAATGCTTTATAGATTTTTAATGGTCTGGATTGAATCCTTGAATCTAGGAGGCAGTGGAGAAGCTTCTTGATCATGGGGCTGAGGTGAATGCACGAGATAGAATGTGGCAAACACCACTCCATGTGGCCGCAGCTGCAGGTTCCCGTGACTGCCTGGAAGTCATCCTTGGTGCCAAAAATCTCAACATCAACATCACTGATCGAGGAGGACACTCCTGCCTTCATCTGGCTGCTTATTTTGGATGCTATGAGGTTCTGTTATTGCATATGTATTCTAGAGAGAGGGGTGCTTTGTCTATGGGAAAGAGTCTTGGAGCTAATTTAGGTTTTTTTAAAAATTGACTTAAGGTAATTTCATGTTAGGTTGCTCATTTGTTGCAAGGTGATGTAATGCTTTAAACCTTTGTGGTGCTATGTCAGAAATATTCAGATAGTTGAAATTTCCGCTCCTAGTCATGTGCTGGAAATGTTCTGAACCAGAAATATCGCTGTAAATAATGCTAAAAACTAATTTTCATTTTACTAATCAGTTGATTGCTTGTTTATGCAAAACCAATTGCACAACACATGACATAATAACTATGTATGTTTTATGGAAATTAATTGGACCTGGTGGTACCACTATGATAAAAAAATTGCCTACCAAAGGCTAAGTATTTAAATATTTGTCTGCCACTTTGCTAGGTGATAGAGTTACTGCTGAGCCAAGGTGCAAATGTGAATGCATATGACAAACGAGAGAGACGAGCTCTTCATTATGCTGCATTCATGGGTCATTCTACTATCATTTCTCAACTTATCACAGCTGCTGGTGATCATACTGCCAGAGACAAACTGGTGAGACTGGCTTCATTCTTTTTTACAGACTACTTGCATAGATATTTGACCATATGTCTAAGATAGGAATGGCATCAAAGTTGTGTTTTTTGAAGGAAGTATTTTAAGGATTTTGTTTTGGTCCATTTTCACTTCCATGAGAAGAAGTGGAAAGTTGATGCAAACCATCAATGTTTATCAATTGAGGTAGACATTTTCTCACAAGGCAAGCTGAGCAGCCCCCCCCCCTGCCCCATTTTCCACCATCATTCACAGTTAAATGAAAATATGTTGGGTTAAGCTCCAAAACACTAGCTCTTTGAGTTCCAGGATTAGAAATGGTAAACAAATGGAGCTCTTCTCTATAGATACCCCCTTAAGTCATCACAAGTATGGTTATTTTCACAATGGAATATTGCAGGAATACACACCACTACATGCAGCAGCTGCAGGTGGGCATGCAGAAGCCATCAAGGTGTTGGTGAATGAAGGCAGTGAGGTTCATGCTGTGAATGTGTTTGGGAATTCACCTTTGCATACAGCCTGCCTTAATGGCCATGCTGGAGCCTGCTCCACACTATGCATTCTTGGAGCAGACTTGGAACTGAGGAACAAAGCTGGACTAGTGAGTTATCTAATTACTTCTCATCCCTTTCTTCTGCCTGCTACTTCCCAGAGATTTACCCCTTTTTGCTTCATTTACAGCTAATTCACCATTTTGTTGTTCCTACCTACCAGTGCAAAGATTAATCAAACTAATGCTGACAAATCTTTCCTTAGATTCTAAACTAACTTCTCCATTTAAATGTTTGTTGCAATAAGGATAACAGATATTATTAGATGCTATATTCACTGTTATAACTATAATTTTTTCACACGAGTGTAATTCCTGTGCTTTGGCACAAATGAATCAAGAAGGAACTGAAATATGCAGTACTTGTCAATTACTAATTTTTCATATCACATGCTTTCATTGTGTTATATTTGACATTAGACTGTTATACAAGGTTGTGCAGAAGTCAGTTATCCCAAAGATTGCTTTGAATGTACTGGCCTATCTTGAGACGTCACCAGTGGATGAGATGTTCTGGCAGCTAGATGGTGCACTTACTCATTACCAATGCAATGTGTGAGCCAATACTTGCATAGATGCATAGTTGCCCAGGTGTACATTTAGTCACAGAGGCTCTGAATAGATTGATTTTTGTGTCACCCTGTTTGATGTCATGTGCAATTTAACTGCTATTGTTGGTCAGAGTGGTTCAGAAAATTGATCCACCATATGCAGACATTGGTAGCAAAGGTGACTTAAGGATCTAGCAAAGCAAGTTCATATAGGGATAGAAAGAGATTTGAAAGTAAATTATCATAATAGCACCTACTATGACTGCCAGCTGTAACACTTGTTTGGATTTAAATGTGTTCTTTCAGACACCACTGCACATAGCTGCCAGCTCAACAGATGGGGAAGACTGTGTCCCAATTCTCATCAACAGGGGTGCAAATGTGAATGCCCAGTGCCTAAAGGGACGTACTCCACTGCATTGCAGCATCCTCCAGGGCCGCCACCAGAGAACCCAACTCTTTCTCTTCCATCCTGGTAGGCCATGCCAACTTACTTTCTACTGTCAAGTCACATTGCCAAAAGCCTCAGGAAAAGCTAAATTTTACTATTGTGTTGCTTATTCATTTTCTCATCACTTTTTTCTGTTTGTTCTCATGTACACTGTTGTCATCATGTCTTAGCCTCTTGCCAAAGTCAAAACAGATCCCTGTTACTAATCATGGATTTCCTGTTACAGAGTTATAGCCAGGAAATTTCTTAAATTGATGAGTGCATTGATTTACTGCTGGGGGCACACACACCAACCCACTCCCCACCCACTCCGGTACAGTTGCACTCTGGAAACTTGCTCTGTAAAGTTGTTGCACACAGCAGAACCCACTTCGGAAAGGTTTAAGACTCTAGATTCAGCTTGGCAGAGATTCTGCCTCTTCCTTGGCAGGAAGAGGCAGAGGAAAGTGTGAAAACATGCAGAGGTGGGATCATGGGTGGGATTGAAGTAGAGTTTCATACTTGTGCAATGTATTTCTTGTGCCTACTGCTTTGGGTGGACTATTCACATGGGATCTATGGGATGTTTAGTCCTTATCACAACACTGCTGATTCATTGTGGGATTGTTTAAATAGATATAAGTCAGTATTCATCAGATATGCCAAGGTAGACTGATCCTACATTTGACAGGCAGCTGTTTCATTTTTATTTGTAAACTGTGCTGCAAATGAAACTTCAAAGTTATTACTGGGTGACCTGCCCAGTTATAAAGGCCTAGCTAGAATCTTGCTGGATGGAATGAGTAGGCATTTGTTATTGTTCCAGTGTGTACATTGAAGGTGAGACCATATGAAGTAGACCTATGATGCTTTTTTGGTGTTCTGTGTTTTTCATTTTTTTTGCAAGAGTACATAGCTGAAATGAAGAGAGATGTGACAACCATGGTTACAGAAGAATGCAAATGGTTCAGTTTAAGTCAATTGTCTTGTGTATCCATCTGAAGCTATAGTTGAAGAAATATAAAAAAAGATACTCTGCTTGTCAACTTATAATGGAAAAGGCATTTATGTTGGACTTATACCTCATCCAAAAACCTCAGTTGCTAAATATTGGCTTCAAGTTTCACACAACTGTAGGCGTTCATTCATTCTCAACTATAATACTGGTAGCAATAACTGCTTTTGAGTTGTAAAACTTGGCTGGTGTTTCTTCGATGAAAGTCTTGAGTTGTTATTGAGTGCATATGGTAGCTGTGAACATGACTATATTAACCATTAAATTCTTCAGGGGTAGAGGTGAGCCTAGCAGATGGAGAGGGAAGGACAGTGCTCCACACAGCAGCCGCATCTCGAGTCAGTGGCCCGCTTGTATCAGCCCTACTGAGGAGGGGATCCAAGCCAGGGATGCAGGATGTCTATGGACAGACCCCTCTTCACCTGGCTAGTCATTCTGGTTGCCCTGAGGCTGTCAGGGCTCTCCTTGTTTCTCATGTGGATCTTGGTATCCCTGACAACTGTGGCAGGACTCCTTTGCATCTGGCTGCTTATTCTGGGTTGGTATGCCAGGTCTACCTCATGCTTTGTCTCCACCATTAGAGGGAGTAAAACTCCTGTTTGGGACAGGATTACTGAGGACATGGAAAACTTGGCAGTCAGGAGAAAACATAGGGCCCAAAATTAAAAGAATATGGACCCAATTTCCCTTTAAATTAAAATTTGCTTGGAAAATTGGTTAAGTAATGCAAACCTACACCTTTGTATGCTGTATTGGAGAAAGTGGATAATGATGGAGATGGTGAATAGGAATTCAAATTTTGAGCTGCAAGAACTATTCACAAAAGAACTTGGAAAAGTCAGGAAACGTGATTCTCACTTTTGGATGTGTGGTTAGAGCAACTGAAATCATAGCTGATGCTTGAAAAACATGTTTTCAATTAACCACCAATGCTAAATTGACTGGAGGTGCTCTAGGACAGTAGCAGTTCATCTTTCAGCTAAAATCCACCTGTGAGTCTCCATTTTCTTATGGAAGATGTCATTACCTTAGACACAGGTCCAAACGAAATGATAGAAATCTGTCAGGTTAGAAATAGAGCTGTCAAACTTATGGTGCCCTTATCATGAAAAAAAAACTCATCACTTGAAGGCTTGATTGCTCTCTTATTTTGCTGCATTTGTCTCATGAATATAGCTATCGTTACAGCATTCATATATTGGTTGTATACATTACAGTAACTGAATTGCATGAAGGGGTTGATACCACCTCATTTTTATGCGATATTCATAACAGATCCTGGTATTATGATTTTTGGGTTTGTGTATATATGAAGGAATGTCGAATGTGTGGAGCTGTTATTATCATGGGGTGCTGATGCAAGCCAGAAAGACAGGAAAGGGAGGTCAGCCTTGCACTATGCTGCTGCTGCTCGCTCCTTGGAGTCCCTCAAGGCCTTACTTTCCTCTTGCAAAAATCCTCTGGAAATCAACCTCCCTGATGAAGATGGACTTACCCCACTGCTGTTTGCTGCTGCCAACGACAGCTCCTCCACGTATGAGTCTCTTTTCCCAAGAAAGATCACAAATTTTTTTAATTGAGATGAATTCAGAATGTCAAAGAAATTGCTCCATTTCCTTAAGGCCAGGAAAGTAAAAAAATTGTGCATCAACTGTTGGTGCAGCTGATTGATGAGATGATGGTGAAGGTTGTTATGAATATTCAAGTTTTGACCAAGAAAATGACTCCCAAGAGGAACTGTAGAACCTAGAAAAACCTAGAATCTCACATTCTTGTAAATTTGAAGGCCTTCAAGTCTTATTAGTAGAACATGGAAGCAAGGAACCTGAAGCAGATATGTGTCACAAGCCTGGCATCATGTTTGCTAGTTAGGAATTGGAGGTAGTTCCACACTGATCACTAAACAGCCATATTGAGATTTGAAGTTTGAGTTGACTGACTCAGGACAAGATCAGTTCATTGTCTTCTCTTCACAACACTACAAAATCCCAGTAAACCTTGGTCCTGTTATGCTTTTATGGCTCTTAAAAATTATGAGATACACTGGTTGTTGGGAAGTCTGGAAGCCATTCCTACAAACCCCACAATCTTAATGAGATATTATCCATGGGTAATAAGTGATAAATCAGACAGTAATTGTTGAGTACTGCTGCATGTAATGGAGTTGTTGCAATCTTGAAATTTTGTCAATGTTCATTATGTTTCAGTGCTTAAAAAATTTTATTCACAGGCAGATTCCAATTTTAGGCCCTTAAAAGGGGTTGAGCAGTATCTTACCATTATCAAAAAACAAAGGAGTTTCCAAAGAATAACATGAATTATTTCAATTGTTTTCTCAAAAAATGCCTGACAGGATTACATTTCATGAAATCTTATGGGCATTTATAAGTTTTATTCTGATTTTGCCTGCATTTCAGTGTTCAAAATCTTACTGACAGCAGAAGAATTGGCTGAAATCTGAAATCACTGATATCACTGCATTAGAGTATGATGGGCCTCTTGTTCAATGTGGATTCTTTTCATCTTAGGATATGCAATCATGAACTGAGAGTCCTCTTGTATGGGCATATGGTCTGAGCAATCAATTGTTCACTGCAGGTTGGTTCAGGAGCTGATATCCAGAGGGGCTGATGCAAGTGTGATGACTCAAGGAGGACTAACACCAGTTCATTTTGCTGCCATCAGTGGACATTTGGGGACTTTGAGGGTTTTGCTAGAGAACAATCAACACTGGAGAAGGTCTTCCTTATCCCCACTGCTCTTGGCTGTGAGCACTTTAATGATATAGTTATGAAAAGAAACTCAAGTGTTGTGGTTAGTGTTAGTGTGGCCCACCATCCACCAATCAACTAGATTAAGTGCAATTTCTTTAAGTTTTAAATGAATATTTCTCTCTTGCAGCATTATTTTATTTCTGTCAGACCTACTTTTTCTGGACCTTTTGTGCTGATTGAAGCATTGCAAGGACTTGTTGCTTGTTCAAGTGTCCTCTTGTCCTTTCTCGTGTTGCAAAAGTTACTTTAGGATGAAAGATTTTGTCATCAATTCATCCTTGTAAATTTTCTATGCTTAGGTGCGTGAGAGGCAGCTGGGGGCTGTGAGGCTTCTGCTGCAGCATGGGGTGGACCCAAATCACTCCCATACCATCTTTGAAGCCATTCTGCAAGACAACAGTGACATGGTCCGTCTTCTTATTCACTCTGGGGCTCAACCTCACTTCTCAACACAGGTCTGTCTCCTCTTATGGCTAAAGATGCCATTCATATGCTGTCCTACCTAAATTATCCAGTTGTTTTTCAATTAATCCCTTGCCTGGAGAATTTAAATCCTTGTTACATGGATACAGGTGGATGTGTTGTAAGGGGACTCAAAATTTGATGATGTCTATAGATTTCACCCCCAACAGGTGAAAAATTTGACATGATGCCTATAAATGCTATCCCCAGTTGAGGGGTTGAGTCAGGTGAACCAAAGTACCAAGCAGCAACCAAATTTTTTTTAGTTGAGACTTACTCTTAGCAGCCAACTAGTCATTGATCACCAAATAAAATTCCTCATTTGAACCTACATCAGTCTCCATTTCAATTTATCAGGGCCTTATTCCATAATGCAGTTGGGAGTAGCATTATTGAAAAGGAACCATATGAACAATTTCAAGCGAACACTTATGAAATTAAGTCATATGTAAAAGATCTCATTTAGACCCTATGTGTTTGATGCCATTATTTTGATCCATTGATGAAAGGAAGGTCTGTCTCTTGCTTCCATCATGTAGTTTCATAGGCTTTTTTTTTTTTTAACTGCCAAGCCTTTTGCCTTGGAGTACAGAAGTGTGGATATTAGAGGAACTTTTCAAGATATGCTATCCCTACTGAAAAAGCAAAAAAACCTCCAGTTTTCTGAGTTCTTGAACCATGGGGGGGAGGATATGCCCCAATTTTCTTTAATGCTCTCTTTTCTCAAATTAAGAAGTTATTAGTTATGAGGTAATGCAATAAATAGTAAATGTCCCACCATGAAATTCTTATGTTGAATACATTCAACATTGTGTCTACCAGACATGGGGACTGCTGGGGTTGAGTGAACCAAATGCTAAGATATGGTCTTCATTATTTTTTCAGAAATATGGATACAGTGGGCTTCATGCAGCAGCTCGAGTGGGTTCAGTGGAAATCCTTCAAATGCTCCTCAACAGTGACTGGGGTCCTCAACCGTTCTGTGTTGACACTAGAGACCATCTCCAAAGGTTAGATGGGGAATCTAACAGGGTTCCCACAGACATAGAATACCTGGAAAAAGTAGAAATGTTGGAAAAATCATGGAAATGGGAAAATTTGCATTAACTATCAAATGAAAGCTGATGGTGGTGTAGGGGTTGATATAGGTCATGTATGAATATGCAAATTTTGAACATGGGAATCAGAGCTCCTTATTGTGGGAATCCTGTATATGATACTGTGCTCTTTGCTTCCAGCAAATGTTGCAACTTTTTTTATGGTGACTTTTTTCATGAAGGACTCCTTTGATGATTGCCTGTCTGTTTGAGCATGTGCCATGTATTGCAATGCTGATTGGCCGAGGTGCAGACCCAAATGCTTCCAGCATCAATGGCCTGACTCCCCTTCTCATCACGGTTTGTCTTCATCCCAATTCTCTTCTTCTTTTTTTTTGCATCTAATGAAGGTGGAAACTTTATGGTCACTCTTGGTTGAATAGTATATCCCTAATGTTTCATTTGAATGAACTGATTGAAAGTTTCTTTTGATGTACCAGAATGCTGTATGAAGCATACATTTTCAGTGCTTCTGCAATAGATCTATTTGATCTCTCTAGCAGGTCCCTGGCTATAAATTTGTGACAAAGTTAGCTTATCAAGCTTTTATGAAAGAGAGAAGGGTACAATGCCACTTCTACTAGTTAAAGAATGACCACACCATAACTGCTGTCACCTATTGTTTCATCAGGACTGAAGGAGACCATATGGCAGTGGTTGGCAACTGAATTTCACAGTAGGCCTGATGACAAAATGCTGCACGTTCATGGCCCAACACCTATCAAGTGTCATTGAAATATTAATTTTGATGAATGTCTAATGTCAAACTTCCTGCTGAATGGCAACTGTCAGACTGTAATGTGTGATAGCAGGGCCTTCGCGGGTCAGAGATAGAGCTTCTGCAGGCTGCCAGTTGCCGACCACTGCCATATGGGTTTAAGACATTCATCTTTTGGAGCTGATTATTGAAAGTCAAACCAATAAGGCTTCTTATGGTTTCTTCTTTAATATTTATTTTTTCTCACATTAAGGAGAAGGCCAACTTAACCCTTTTAGGGGAAATTTTTCAGCCATGTTTCCTGCTAAAATTCCAAAGGCCAATTTTTTTGGCCACAGGTTTTTGTTAGATTTCTTCCTTCACATAGTTGGGATTATTCTTGTAAGGTGGCTTGAAAATCAGACATAATGGGTTGATGACATTTGGATTACAGAGATGTTTTAATGCATTTCAAGAATTTGCTCACACAGATTCCACCTTTAAGTTAAGTCAAATTGAAAGTTGGCTGTCCATTGTATTTTTTCATCCAGGCCGAACATGTTAATTAAGTGATGCTTACATATGTAACTACAATTCTTCTTCCTGTTTCATGTCCTATCTTGTAAAGGGCCTATTCCAATGAAATGTATTGCACTGAAATTTTAGTGGAATCATGAAATATTATGAGAACTTGCTCTCATGTTTGTCCATACATTTCTTTTATATATTTTTAATATATCTAAGAAATGTAAAAATTTTTATAGCATAGAAGTGTGCTTCTGTTCATGGATTAATCATTATTAAAAGGTTAAATGGGCCTCAGACTTCTTGTTCTGCATGTCTTTCAGTGCAAAAATATTGTACTAGCCATATGTAGATGTGATGTGATTGATTGTATCCCCCTGCATCTCTTTTGGAAGACTTGCCTGGGATCTGAGGAAGGAAGTGGGATCCTCCTGCGACATGCTGCTGACCCAACACAGTTTGGTACGACAAGGAGAGCAACCCCACTGCACATGTCTGCCCGTCTTGGGGAATCATCCTCTCTCACTATCATGATGGACATTTTGAAGGAGCACCCTCCTTCCCCTGCCCTCATCCCCCTTCGTGATTCCTATGGTTTCACACCTTTGCATTGGGCATGCCTTAAAGGTAAAGGGTGGTTCTCTCATATATATTAAGTTTTTCCATGCTTGTAATCAATTTAAGCATTTGTTTTTCGAGTTATTCATTATTTTCTAATTTGCTGGAAAGATTTTTACTCATCTCCCATATAGTTCAAAGTTGTGTGATATGAACAGCTCTGCAAGGATTTTTCTCTGCAGATAATCCAGACTGCTTGGAGGTTCTCTTGAACTATGAGATTGAAAGATGGAAAGCCCAAAGTGCTGATGAGAAATGGGATGCTTCTCCATCACTTCTTCACCTGGCTATGTCCGTTCTTCCACTTATTTTCCCTCTTAAAAAGCATAGTTGAAAGAAGTTTGGAGAATCATTTTCTGATATTACCAGTAGATTTTTCATGATCCTTCTATTGAGGGATCTGCCCAGAAATTGCCATAGTGCTCTCATTTCAACAAATGATGAAATGAGAGATTCCTTTGAAACTTACAAAAATTTTAATGTAAACAGAACCTAGAAATATGACCAGGAAGAGTGTTTGTGTCTGAAAGTGTTAAAAGTTGAACCATTCCCCATGTTTACACAGAGAAGGGAACAGTCCGAGCTGTGCAGAGCTTCTCCTGTCGTATTCATTTGGAGGGGATGTGAACGAGAAAGTGGAACCAGAGATGAGAACAGCCTTGCATCTAGCTGCTCTCAAGGGCCATACTCCATGTGTCAAACTCCTCCTCTCACATGATGCCAATGTGAATGCTACAGATCGAGAGGGGAAGACACCCCTCATGTTGGCCGCCACTTTTGGCCATCTTGCCTCAGTCAGTACGTGCATTGCCATGGACAGCTCTCTTGTTCTTTCTTTGATGCTCTGATGTTCTTGCTTTGATGATCTCCCTTCCCCATAAGATTCATGGGTTTTCACCATGACCAAAGCCTCTTGCATAGTTAATCATTCATAGGATTTCCCTCAAATGCAGAACTGCATAACATCAACCAAATGACCTGTGAGTGTACCCTTTGCTTGCTTGTACGGTATCAGCTTAAATCATACTGCTTTATTTTTCCATGTACTTTAATTTCACAGGCATCTGTACAGTGGTATAACTGTCTTTTGTGAGCTGAGTTGAGTTGTGTTGTGTTGAGTCACTTTCTATTTGGGTTTTACATTGAATAATGTATTTCCAAATCATCCAAAGGAAATCATTAACATGATGAACAAGAATAATTGTGATTATAAATGGCCTTTTTATTGTCAGGTACTGAATCTGTTAGTGTACTTCATAGCAGACACTGGGAACAGCTATGATTTTTTAGCCTTCAGTGTCCATCCTGTGGTTCATGAGGAAACTCCATTTTTTCTTTGTTAGAATTGTTGCTGGAGTATGGAGCTCATGCATGGATTGATGATGCTTGGAAGGAAACTGCCTTGCATGCAGCTTGCAGGGGTCGCCATTCCCAGGTTGCCCTAGCCATCCTTCATATGGGTTCTGCAACGCCTGATCTCATTAATTTGCAACGGAAAGATGGGAAAACGTGAGTTATCCTCTCAAGTTTCTCAAGTATAAGTTTTATTATATGCATATTTGAAACTGGTGGAAGTGGCTGTTGTGAAGACCTGAAACCAGATGTCATAGGAGAATGCTAACCCATGTATAGACAAATCATACACAAGCACAAGAAGGACTCTGTCAGGCCTCTTTTACTTGGTGATAGTCTTGGTAATCTTGGTTGTAATGTCAAGCATATTTTTCTTAGAGACTATGCTGGGTGTATCTAATGTAACTGCTGCTGGTGAGGGGCATTTAGAAGGGGCCTAACTTGAAAACTCTGATAGAAGTTGAGCCCATACTCATCAAATTGGGAGAGATTAAAGAGAGATTTTGTTGTGAGTGGGATTTTTAACATCATTGACATTCAGCTGGGATACAAAATGGTTTTGCTGTAAGGAAAATTTAAAAATGCTCCATTAAATACAGTAGGGCGTGCCACTCAGACTAAATTATTTTGCTGAAAATGGACTTAAATAGTCAGAAATTTATAGAACTCTGTGAAGCATGAACTCTGTAAGCTCACAGACAACTCTCAGAGCAATCACATATATACAATGGCAGTGCTCAATGGTTAAATATGAAAAAGCATATGTACAAACACAGTCTGCAGACTGCATGGTCACTGTACTGAAAAGTTTGATGGTGTTTTAGTTAATCAAGATTAGGTTTTACTCAATCTGCCTCCTCTTTCCCTTAGGGGCACATGGCTCCCTTGCTTTTCAACCCTCCCTCAAGCCCCCCCCCTCCCCCTCTGTCCACAATGGGCCTTTTACTCATCTTACAATAAAGAGAAAGAAGCAGTCAGATAACCAGATACCAAATAGGAAAAGGATTGGAGAAAAGTAGGGCCAAAAAGCGGAAGAAAATGTGTGATGTGTGTTTCCTCATTCCAGAGCCTTACACCTGGCTGCAGGAGAAGGATTGATCCAGGTCACAGAGGCACTGTTGATCATGGGTGGAAGTGTGAATATCACTGATGAACTGGGTTACACACCCCCTTTGTCCTGTGCCTCATCTCCAGCCATTGCCCATTGCCTTGGTCTCATGCTGTCTCTACTCCCGCTCCATCTTCACAATGGATGCAAGGAAGATGCAGAGACTCGCAGGAATGCCTTGGCAAATGCTCAGCTCCCTCGTCTTCCTATCTTCAGGTCCCTTTCTGGTCAGTGTCTGAAGCCCTTTTTTCCTCAAAGGATAATAATCATTTGGAACAGAGGAATGTTTCCAAAACCTTCCCAGCCTTCCTGTTGAACTGTGTGATGGTCTAAGTTTCATTCAATTCTCAAAGTTACCATCAAACTCATCACCTTCGTGATTGAATTGGCCAAGTTTTTAATCATTACAAAATCATGATTTTTCCCACACAGGTGAAGGGGGAGACTCTGGGGAAGGGGATGCTTCTTCACACAGCTCTGATTCTGACTTCTTTTGACATAGCACCTGTTTTCTCACCATTTTGACTCACATTTTGTTTTCCTGACATTCCTAAACCCTGTGTTGTTTTTGACTGTGGGATTCCCTTTTCTTGCGGCATTGATGTCATGGACTGAATCCGAACCTGGTGAATGAGCATGATCTCACGAACAGCCATTGTACCACGGGTACATGTCCTCCTTGAACTGCTGGTTTCATCAGAAAATGTGATAATGGTGGGCATGAGAATTCATCTGAATTCTTTTTTGTCCTCCTGGAAAGTTGTTTGCACTGTGATGAAAGTGGGTGACCCTATCTTGTCATCAGTTGGTGATGCAATTTTGAAAATTTTCAGCTTCAATCATGAAGAATGTCAGCATGATTTTGGGCCAGTTTTTTTCTACTTGATCATGCCCAAACCCAATCAATTGCAAAACATTTTCAGTCTTGTGAAAGACTCCCATGTTCTTGTACACAGAAAGACTTGGTATGTAACAATAACTTGGTCATTGTTACACATTATCCCACTTGAATTTTTATCTAGTGTGCTGTTCTTGAACCACAATGAGGGAAGGAGGGAAAAAAAATTTGTTGAATCATCCTTGATCTGCCATAATTTAAACAAGTTGATTTTCCTCTAAAATTATTAAAAGAGGGTTAGTATGGATGGTGCTTTTTTTTTTTAGGTTTTATGAAATATCAAAGCACGGCAAGGTTGATGCATTAATTTTCTAACTCCAACCAGGTTTTATTTCCAGTTGAGCCATTTCTTTGATCTGCTGACAATCCTTCAGAGCTGCACTGAGAAATACTTTGCCAGTAGGTGCCTTTTGTAAGTGCAGCTCAGAAGTACCTCATCTTGTGAATGTACCTTTGCACTCAAATAATGACAAAGATTGTACTCCTTTTGAAAGAAAGAAGTCAACCTGGAAGAAAGAAGTAAAGAGTTGAAATAAAGTTTAAGAGTATTCAGATACACTTCCACCTCTGTATTTCAAAATTGGACATTGTTTGTGATCATCCATACTTCAGTACAAAACTTTCTTTTCAAATGTGTTCATCATGCACCAGTTGTAGCCAAAGAGGAACCTATTGTCAATGGCCATAGTGGTGGCTACACAGAAAGCATTTCTCTAACAACCCTTCTTCCATTGCTCTGTTTTGCTTCCATGTAATGCTATTCCAACCTCATTGTAGTTCTCAATTTTTCATGCTCCTGATGCACATCCCCATACCCTCCCCCATGCCCATTCCTCTTTGCTGCCTTGACAGGAAGCAGTCTGATCTTCCATATGTTGCATCTATCACACGTGTCTCCCATTTACCTCTTTTCCACATTGCACCAATCAAAAAATCTAAGCCAAGTCTGCTGTGTGCAAGGACTGTTAGTCTTCCCTTTATCTTGTGCCTTCAACTGGGAAAGTACAATGCCAATGAACTTCATTGGGATCGCTGCATGTCATATGTGAATGCAATTTTTGTTTTCATGGCCATCTTTCAGTTAAATTCATGAAGGTGTTCTTTAAATCCTCTGTCAGTGTTATAGTAGTTATTGGGGAATGGAATTTTTGTTTTCTATAGAGAAATTCATACTACAATGAAATTGTGTCTCTCTAATTGGGTGATGCAAAAAGGTGCTCTGGAACAGGTCCAAAGTTGGATCTCTTTAACCCCTAACTATTCATTGGGATGTCTCACAGCTTGTGTTTTTTGAGGGTACTGGTTTCTCATTTATTCTCTATGTGTTGAGTATTTTGTATCTTGTGAGGTGTTTCAACCAAAGTGGGATCAGAAAAGTGACATTCGGAGACCGTTCTAAAGCTAAATGTAGGGAAAGGTGACATTTTCGTGTATGCATGTGCCAGTAGCTCGTGACCTCACTGATTAACCATGAGAGGAATCAAATTGAAATGCAAGGGCAAAGATACCTCATTTGTTAAGATATTAAGTTGTTCATTTTCTTCTGGATTCTCATTGCTTCTGAGTCATTTATGAAATGTAGTGCTCAGCTTGGATGAAGTTCATCCAGAAGGCAATGCTGGTCTTCCCTTTGCAGATCTCGTATTCCATGCAATTCGGCGTCGTTGAGCTTCCTCACCTTGTGACTGCAGAAAGCCTTTAAATTTCCCTCAGGGTTTCTTCCATGTTGTGATGCTTAGGGAAAAAAAGCTTGCCTGTGGCTACAACCCAGCTTTACCATTCCCTTCTCTTGTGATCCATTCATGTATCTGCTGAGAGAGAAATTAAAGACCTTCACTCCATATCCAGTGCCCTTTATTTCATCCTTGCAGAGTCAAACGGAAAAACACAAATAAAAATGTCTTAGGGACATTGGGAAAAAGAATGTCATACTCCTTGGGTAATAAGTAATGAATCTATGGTTTCGGGCATCATGCTCGGCAATAATTAATTCCTAGTTGAAATCCCTTAGTGCAGGTGATGCATTCTGGGTATATATGCATGCGTCCAGGAAGGTGGGACCTAGCGTGTCGAGAATGCTTCATTCGAATCTAGCTTTTATTTTCTTTAGGGTTAGAAGGTACGAGTTATGGAGAAACATCGCCTACCATATATCGGTCGATATCGGTACTTCGAGTCAAGAGGGGGAAACGAGAAGTAAAACACTCATGGTACAGTTGGGAAGTCATTAAATAAGGAACACTAGTCTTTGTTATTACACAATTTAGACCGATCGTTTTCCGCTTTTTTCCTTAGAATTTTCTTCTCTCTGGATCATGACGTGACTGGTATCAGTCACGAAAATGGAATTGCTCTTCAAATTCCTTTTCCTCGTTAGCCCGCTCTTTTTCTGCCATGTGCCTAATATGCGAAATTTTGTTGGTGGGGGTTAGCCGAATCCGGTTAGGACTCGTAGTTATTGGAGAAGGTTAATTGGGACATTAAAGTGATTTGAAAAATAGTTACTATTTTCTTCAATGGACTTTCTACGGCAAAGTCATACATGATCCAAGTTGGCCCGTTTCAAGTTAGATGCTCTTTAGAATAGTGGCCAAAATGATATTCTAGGATGGATTCCATGCACAAGCACAAGAGTATGTCACGAGCCGGTGAATTCTTCATACAGAAGGACGCAAACCTTTGCGATTGAAACGCATTTGACTGATCTTGATTCAACCGCAGATTTCGGTCAGAACTCCCCCATAAAAGTCGACGTGACAGCATGGGAAATCCCAATTTTTGGTTGCTAATTAGCCCATTGAACTCGGGACGACCGTGCGAATCTGGCCATTCTACTTTTGCCCCAATATACCCGACTCCGGATGTAATCAACTTTCAGAGTTCACACTATAAAGTGCGGGTTGAAAATTCGAGGGAGGTAAATGAGAAGGCAAAACAGAATTCCCGAGCAAGATACACACTTACATACCTGATCCACCCAGCGGATTTAGATTACAAGCGATGACAGGAATGAAAGGCTTGCAAGCAGAAAACCTCAGGAAAATGGCAAATGAAAAAAGGGAGTGATTCGGAAATCCCAATATTAGCGAATTTATCAACTCTGGAATCTACATTTCTAAATCCTCACTGACGAAGACTCGACAGCTCTTAACGTGGAATAAAATCCCCTCGGGCAACGCTTCGTATCCTTTCGAGCGATCTCGTGTGCCCTTTGTCGACTCGAGCACCCGAGGCCGAGATGGAATCGGGACTGGAACCGCGTGGACGGTGTGGATGCCTCCGGAAAGGGGGGGGGGAAACCTCCCGCCTCGGGTGGGAAGACGCTCAGTGAGTGCATGGACGCGGAGGACCGAGGTCGTGTCGCAACTTAGTTTCCGTGTCCGTTTCTTCGTCCTTTTCTACCGCGGGATTTCGTGAAGTATCCGGTGGGTATCACTGGCTGTCGAGGTTAGCAGGGACTAGCTTTCAGAGTTGGGATAAAATGTTCTGAGAAATTATGCTTTGAGATCTCCCCACCCCTCCCCAACAAAAAAGAACAAATGGGGAGAGTGAGATTAGTGATTTTGGAGAGTTATACGCCGTGTAAGAACTTACCCAAAACATACGTTTCGGTACTCTGGATCTTTTTCCAGAAATGTGACTAAGTATACCCAAGGAAGAAGTTTAAAATGCACCACTGCGTTTCATACATATTCCTGTTACCTTTACCGCTATTAATTCTTCGAGTCTTCATTGTTTACGACTCCCGCTAGTTCGTCTGTTGTGATGAAACGGTGAACGTTGCATTTTTCTTAGGCAGAAGCTCAAGTTTTCTCGTTGCGATCGTGCATTTATGCTGCCTCATGTATGCCTTCTCCTATTTCTTCTCGAGTTTCTGTTTTGGGGTCATTCGACTGCATTATACAGGGTGTTCGAAAAGTCACTGTGCAGTAGAATTCACGACATGACGCAGGAGGCCTCACTGTAGCTAGGAATTACAGACAATAAATTATGTGAATCGGGGATGGTGCTAATATTTGATGAAATATTGAGTGGAAATTCACGTCTTTGATGATGCAATACATGTGATACGCAGTACAATACTAAATATATGCAACAAAATAAATGAATCATGCTGCACAGTGACCTTTCGAACACCCTGTATATGCCAGTACCGAAACTGGTTCGGTGAGTCTTGGCATAAATAAGTCTGGAGCCACCGACATAAGATGCTTCATCTCCAGTTCTGTCCAATGAAATGTAGTCTCTTCCATGACGTCACGAGGACGCGAGAGAGACGAGAGGCTTAATTTCCTAAGGAAAGCATTGGCCTGCGACAGGCGAGGCTCACTTCTACTCGGTTCCCATTCTGGTGTAACAATCGAGACTGAATGGGCCGAAGTTGCGCATTTCGTAACCTTGAGATGAATTTGCATGCGGCTGCGTCTCGAATGTATGCGGAGGCCGAGAGAGCCTCATTTTTCACGTCATACCTCGCGAATGATTTGGCCCTGAGCCGAAACATCTTGTACTTGTACTCGGAAGAGCAAGAAGAAGAAAATGTTTATTATTTTTTTATTATTTTATTCCAATCTTTACTTGATTACGGTAATGCGATCCGAATGAAAATTTCAACAGGGACCTTCTGTAATAATCCATAACCGATAGTGAAGCGAAAAAAAAATAACGACTGGGAAGCCTTTCAACAGCTCGGCTGCAAGATGCTCCCATCAGAACTTCATCTGGAGCTTCAGCTTGAGATTCTCATTTGGTTCTCTCGCTTTTTGGCTTCTTTCGACCATTGTGCTCGCGAGCATTCCTTTTTAACCCAAGAAGTGCCAACCGTCGATAAATTCGACGTTGGTAGACCACCGTGCTGCTTCTGGCGACTTATCTGGTGACGTCTGTGTCACACTTTGGTTTTCCGACGATCACTAAAAAAATATTGGCCTGACTAATGCAAAAATTGGCAAGCAGGTAGATATGAATAAGATACAGGCTGAGTTCGTTTTGTGGCGAATTTGCCTACAATTGCTATTTTTCTCGCGAATTTTGAATTTGAAATTTGCTCACCGGGGGGGGGGGAAGGCATGTGTTCCCGAGAGCCCTTTAGAACCTGGACCACAATGCGCTGGCGCGTAAGACCCAGACCTTCGGCGCGGCGCCGTGTCCTCGACCAGGGCTGTCAGTGCTCTACTAGCCTTGGTGGCAGATGGGTCGAACTGCGCACAACCCTCCATCATTCCATTGGCACCATGGGGAGATTTGGCAAACTTAACAGAGAAATTAGATTTTTGAT